AAGATACTCCCGCGTTCCGGGAAAAAAAGAAAGCGAATAAAAATACAATTAGGTTCCGCGGAACTCCGCTTCCCGGAATTCCATAAACGCCCGCGGAATCTAGGATTACCTCGGGGCGTTACGGCGCGTGTAACGAAGTATCGATTATCCGTGTAACGGCTAGGCGCGGTGGCCGAAAGCGGTTCCGGCGGAATTGCGGCCGGGCCGCGCGGACGCGGAAACGTGGAAAAGACGAAAAGCTCGGGGGAGACGTGTCCGTGCTCGAATGGGACGTCGCGTAGTGTGTTTCGCTCACCGTATCGAATTTCACGCTCGACATTGTCGCAGAGTGCGAAGCCGTAATCGGCGCGGAAGTCGGGGACGTGTGAAGCTGCGTGATAGCCTGAGCGTTCTCGGCGGCGGTCGAGAGCTGCGAGGGATTCTGGGTGGTCGTCGTAGCAGTCGTCGGCGCCATCGTGCTGGATGAATCGTCATTCAACGGAAGAGCGTTCTCGTATGGAGAAACCGGCGGCACGGACACATACCCCAGTCCGTGGTTCCCTGAACAATGAGCAACTTTTTTGTATTCCCGCTTGGTCCTCCGAGGCAGAAACCTCGATACCGTGGGTGAATGGTTTTGGTAGACGACAAAGGTTTCCGACCGTTCTCGGTTGGGAGACTTAACCCTTTGCAGTCCGAATTTCTTTTGCATTTTTTCCTCGATAACTCGGTATTATATTTTATTTGAAATGCATTCTAAAAAATAGATAGTTTGTAGAGAGCAGTGTAAACGATTCTTCTTAATAATATTGAAAATAACATAATAGTATAAACTGTTTTAAAAATATCTTGACAAAGGATCACACCTGCGAGTAAAACTTATGTCGAGTCACGCTCGACATAGGTCAAAGGATTAACGCCTCGTGGTTTCAAGGGTTCTTGATGTTTGACTTTAGAATTTATATGTACGTTATTTGATTCGATGATGATCTAGTGTGGAAGTTTAGTGAGTTATCGAGTATATTTGTAAAGAGTAATTATAGTTATTGATGATGTAATTATGATGTGAATTATCATGAAGGAATTGATGAAATAATGAACTGAATGAAATTGAGTAGACGACGTATAATCGCGAAGGTTTAACCTAAAAGTTTATTAGAAATTAGAAATCGTGAAGTTTGATATACAATATTAACTTTCGTATAACACATTAAATTAATTTTTAGTCCTTAACTCACGTATGATTTCTCTTTATACTAATTGTAAAAAGTGTGATCGATATTTCATCGTGGAATAGTAAATATTGGTAAATTTGTTAGTGCAGAGGGTTGCTGCTCATTCACAATAGCTGCCACGATACGGTAACGGAGCGATCAATCACGTTAAGTCACGTCAATATCGCATGCAATCCAATGGGAGCATTCGCAGTATGGAATTCGCAAACGCCGTGAATGTTTCAGTAAAATCTTAGATCTTCGACCATTAATATAAATCAAAGCTTACCGTGCTTCAGGTACTCCGAATCCCTGCCAAAAGATTGCGGCCCCGGTTGTTCTTGCTCTTTGTATAAATCGGAGAACCGGAAGTCGTTCGGGAACGATTCCCTCTGATAAGGATACTTGCTGGGCATCGGGTCGTCCTGCAAAGTTTCCCTGAAACCTGTCGGTTCTCTGTACTGCTGACCCGCGAATGGAGGTCCGTCTAAATAAAATGGCGGCTGGTTCTTCATGTCCGGCGTGTCTCTATAGGACGACGGCCCGTCTGCGTAAAACGGTCGACTCTTTGAAGTCGGGTAGTCTCTGAACGTTGGCTGCTCGCTGTAAGACGACATGTCTTGTCGATAGGGCCGTTGTCGGAACGATTGATACGATTGCGTTTTGAACGGTTGCTCTCGAAATGGCTGATGCTGCTCGTGGAATGGCGGATGCTGGCGGATTCCTTGATACGGCGGGAAGTCTTCTAGCGGCGATAGCCTGCCATCTTTGAAGGCCGCTGCAGCCACCGCCATTACAATGATTATCCCCTAGACAGAATACCAATAGTTTCTAATTATTATATTATATTGTATCATTGATATTGTATTGTATTATATCATATTGTATCGTAATATTAATTTTCACTATATCACTGTGTGATCACTGGACTGTAGATCTTCATGAAAATGATAATTAATAAATGCCATTGAAAAAGCTTAATTACGATGGAAAATTCTTTTCCTTAAGAAATATTATAAAAAATAATACACTATGGATACTTTATTTTCCCATATCGTATGCATCCTGTGGAATTTTGCATTTTTATATTTTTATAAACACTTAATACGCGACAACTTGGTAATTAGGTCACTGTCACTGGCAAAATTCCGGGGTTAGAATCAAAGAAACTCACCAGTTTCTTCATCTGTGGTCTCAGGAGATGAGATTATATTCTTAAGAATGAACTGACGGATAATCAGAGGGCGAGTGAAGGAAATGAATGAGTGAAACCACGCGTGAAAATCGTCTGTAGTCGATCACTGCCATCGACTGTCTTATATAGCTGCGTGTCCAGAGAAAAACCGCAATTCTGCGCTCACTCTCTTTCACTGGTTATGCACGTCTTCCAGTCCAAATACAAACTGGATCTAGTAAATCACGTATATCCACACCTTTCTCCTTCTATGAGATGTTCATTGCCAAGTTCATCGTTGACCCTATTGGTTCCTGGTTAGAAACACAGGCTCGGTGTTGAATATTCCATTTTTTTCCAATTTTCAACGTGCGATGAATAAGTCAGAGAATGGGCTGCAAGTTTTTATAAGAAACGGTCGACGCAAGAAATAACTTTCTTTCGTGATGGACAGCTGAAATTCTTCGGACTAATAATTCATGACACGAAGAGGCTGAATTTCCTTGTACCTGTCGCGATTCTATATTTTAGTTTCAGGTAAATTCTGGTAAACTCTGATATCGTTTAATTGTTGAGAATTGTTTGGTAAAACGCGATATGATTAATGGAGAAACATGTCGAATAATGACAAGCTCGTATATACGTCAGGAAAGTTAATGAATCCGCGGACGTACCGCGGCAAAAACCTCGATTTTGATTCGGCAAAACTCGCCGGTATCTGGCGCATCTCGTGAATCACGTGCGGTTTGCTTCTTATTTGATTTCAAGCCGCCATGAGAAATTGAAGCGCTATCTGCCCGTTACCATTGCCTTGAGGAATGCAATCCTACGGCTCCGCAACGGAAGCAACGTAGCTAAGGTCCATCGATCTTTCCGCGAAAATTTGCGGAAAAATAGCATCTCTCGCGAAACAGTTCAACTACCATTGCAAAATAGCTCCACGGGAACTCACATTTTTATAGAAGAATTTAAAGAAACGAATATCGAAAAAGATTGTATCTCCTTTGCAATTAACTTCGATAATAGAGTTAACGGTTTACGGAACGCGTAAAATTGACGCATATTGGATTTTAGAAGTATTATTTTGTAAACGTTTAATTCAAATCTCCAGTTTCCACAATCTAAATAAACGAGCATCAATTCTTTTAGGAATAATAGAATGAAGTATACAATAAATGCCAGTGAATCTAGTGTTAAAAAGTATATACTTAGAAATAAGAAAAAATATGAGTTCACTTAATTAACCATTCGATGGTTAGCAGAACCAACGAGCATTCGACGAGAGAAATCTTTTTCGCCAGGATATCACAGGCGAAACAGACCCTCGAAGGCATGAAATTTTTCACGTACCACCCCAAGGCAATCGATCTTCGATAAACGCGTTAAGACGGCAGTGTTCGCGACCACGTGATATAAAAGCGTCTTAAGACTTCCCAGCGGGTGGCACGATGGGCGCGCCGCTGCACGCTCGTCGACTTTTAAGGAGGCACTAGAAGGAGTCATAAAAATTGTACGTCGGCCGCGTTACATACGCCCGGCGTTACTTTCCCCGTGAAGTGTCGATAACCGGCGCGTATCCGTCGCTGCGTTTGATAAATGGAATTAATCGCCGCTAGACGAAACGTAACCCGATCAACGGGAAGTTTAAATGCGCCCCGGGAACTCCGGTGGCCCGGGGTTAACGAGCATAATTTATTTCGGCTTTGATTTCGCGCCGCGCGCCCGATAAAATTAGTCCATTTCATTTGATTATCGGCGCCGCCCTTTGTCGTGGTACGATCCACCGCGCCGAACGCCGGGCCCGTTGTTAACCGACGCTCGTTTCCCGTTAATAGGGCACATCGCCGAAAATAATCCCGAAGTCGTAGAAATACATTATCGGCAGCCGTTCCCGGGGTTAAGAGCTTTCATAATCGGCCGGCCGAAGTTTTCAATTCCCTCCGACGGGGGAATTGTGTTTCACGGTAATTATTGGACGGCGGTGTTCGGCTCATTACAAGTTAAATTGAGGATTTTACAGGCGAAGTGGTCCGCACGCAATCCAATATCAGCGGCGATGAACTATGTAGCAACACTTTGTCCGCTCTGCCGACGGAACGGCTTCCCGTTACAATGCGCCCCACGCCGAAGGAGCAATGCTCGATCGTGACGTAACTGGAATTTTCGACTGAGACGCGTCGACGGGAATGCCGGGCTATTTAAGAAACCTCGTTCGGCCCGGTTACGATGGCAACCGTTGTTTATGGGATACCTCGATTAACCGGAAGACATTCGAATATAGGAAAAGCTGACGATATTGAAATTATTATTCTTGAATCGGTTGAAGTAATTCTTGACACGTTTTACCTGAATATTTTATATCATTTAAATTACGATGTAATTTATGCCCTTCTGATGGATAGTAGAACAATGAAGTAATTATTTTAAATTTGATATGTTTATTTTTATACAGAGATATCGAGGGGTGTACATTTTTTGGTAATATGGTCGTCAAATTCGGAATAACTCTAGTCTCAGCTATTTCATAGATACTAAAACACTCGAGTTATCACTTATTGGTTAAAGATCACTTTTACTTCAGATGTTATTTCGATTTTATATGTTTATCATGAAATTGTTTCCATCGATAGATTGTTGCGAGTCTCGGCACGCTGTAATATCAAGAGAAACATCCATTCCCTTGAAAAATGATTTCACAATGCGCGTCGCGATTCGCGAGAGATAAATGGGGCGGAATTTGATGCATTCTATTAATGCTAAGTTCGCGCGTCTCCCGACGGATTTATCAGCGTTCGCTTCGACCCGCGGAAGCGCAGTTTCGCGGGAAAACAATTTCTCTTATCTTCGACAGCCACGCTCCGGCTGTAATTAGCAAATATTGCCTCACGGTGTACCGATCGATCTTTCTCTGTCGAAAATCTTCCGACCGTTTTTCTCGAACCTGTCGGACGTTCGCGTTTTCCCTCGAACGGGAATGATAATGTATTTCCCTAATGTCGCGTTGTGTATTAATTAGTCGACCGTTGTAAGAATATGATCGATCCGTCGCACCCCCTGTCTGCCGTTTAATTTACGACAGATCCTGATTGCGCGAACATTCATCTGCAGCTTAACACGTAGCATTCGAATGGCTGCGTTTAATTTCCCCGACAGCTTGTCTTTGTGCAGAAAACTTCACTGCTGGAATTCTAGTTTCCGCCGAGCTTGATTAAATTTCTCCATTTTAATGAAGCCGGCTGACCGATCTGTACGTTAAATCTAATAAAAATGTCTTGGCACGGGTGAATGAATTTTATTTCCCGCGAATAAACAGGAACAAAGTGATTCGTGCTTTACGAGACGACTGTCGAACGGGCGCTCATAAAGATTTTTCAAGCTCGAAGTAACTTATTCAATAAAACGGGAACTTTGCGTTTAGCTGCAATTTATAATTGCTCGTTCCACTTCCCCGCGTTTTATTGATTGACGTATACGGGGTGTAAAGTAATTGGTACGCACAAATGATGGGGCGTATACAACTCACTAAACCACGTAAAAAAACCCCCAAGTGAACATAGATCCAAAACTCAATAATTTACGGTCTATTGTTTAGAAAAATTTATAGGAACCGAGTCAAGAACACCGAATTATCTCAAAAAGAATCAATGACACAAACCAACGTATCAAACAAAAGTTACAGGGTATGAAATACTACATATTAAGGCGTAAGGTACTTGACCGTGACGTGACCTTGGAACGTCCTGCTAAGGTTACACAATTCTTAATTAGAACTCTATATTTTCTATTCCACATTTTTGAAGTCAACATTCAGACGTTTCTAAATTATAGACATAAAAATTTCCGTGTTTACCGTTATCAAGATATCAGCATCCAAAATTTCCGATTTGTCAGTAATGATGCGTGCTCACGAACGGTCCGACTCCCAACTTGTTGACGGAAGGGCAAAGGGATGCTCGATGGAGCAACCGTGACGAGTCAGTTTCGACAGATTCTTCGTAAGTGACTTAACACGTTCAACCCGGCGCATTTTTTCGAAGTCTCTATGTTCGACGTACACAAAATGATAAGTTGTTTATTTGTCTGGCAGCGTTTGTTTACTTCAGCACTTTTCACGTTATCAGTAACAATCATTAGAGTCTGAGTGGTTGTACGAGTTCTTAAAAATGCTGTGGTGGTCCACGCCGGGTTGAACGTGTTAACTTTGAAATGCGGCGGAGCGAGTGAAACGCCTATAGACTTCTATAAGAAGCCATGGGAGAGTAAATAAAGGTAGCGAGTACATGATTGCATTCTCAACTGTGAGTCCACGGTCTGATCAATAAATAATGTCATTCACATTTTCAAAGGGAAACCCATTGTGTAAGAAACAAGGACCGTGGATCCTTTACTTTCCTTTCCTTTCTCTCCCATGATAGTCGCACTGTCCATCGGTCACCATCATTACCGTCGAACCAACTTTGGATGCTGCTATTTTGACAACGGTTAATACGAAAAATTATGTCTTTGGTTCGGAAACGTCTGAATGTTGGCTTCAAAAATATGGAATAGAAAATATAGGGTTCTAACTAAGAATTGTGATGTAACCTTAGCATGGACGTACCAAGGTCACGTCACGGTCAAATACCTCCCGCCTTGACATGTAGTATTTCATACCCTGTAACTTTTGTTTGACACTAGTTCGTATTACTGATAGGTTTCGAGATAATTCGGTGTTCTTGATTCCTCATAGATTTCTTTAGAACTAAACCTGTTTTTATCTTGAAAACTATGAGGAATTTTTTACCTATATTCGCTGGGGTTGTTATACGCAGTTCAGTGAGTCCTATCATTTATACGCGAAAATTTTCTTACACCCCGTATGTTCAATAAATGTTCATTTAATAGGTTCTTTATTATATTAAATCAATTTTCAACTGTAGATAAAGAATTGTCATTCGTGCGTGGTCTCAATACGAAAACTACGAAACGTACTCGCCAGATGGTGCAAACGGTTCCCAATAAATAAAGAAGTA